CTCTGGCTCAACTTTTCTAGATTATTAATGGATAATCGATTTGGAATCTAATGTTAAAATTTGGCAAATTTAGCCTACTGTGGCTGCCATAACAGCTGGAAAAGACATAGCTTTGGCCAATAAAGAGACGTTAATTGCTGGAGGGCCTTTTGTTCTTCCTCTTGCACACAAGCACAAAGTGAAGATTCTTCCGGCAGATTCCGAACATTCAGCTATATTTCAGGTACGTCGAAATTCTAATATGGTGCATATTCGTATGGTTAGCAGAAAAGTACAAATGATTAGCAAATTATCTTGTCATGTGAAAAAAATGTTCTTTATCATCATGTATTTTGTATGCATTTCAGTGTATACAAGGCTTGCCTGAAGGTGCTCTGAGGCGCATAATTTTGACGGCATCAGGGGGAGCATTCCGGTTAGGCAATTTTTTTAAGGAAGAAATTTTTTAGAATTTGAAAATTTTTATGATTGGTGTATTTGAGATACATATATTTTCATATGGATATAAAATTTAGATAGGTTTATTGATTTCCCAAGTCCAATTACATTTTTTAATTCTTTATAGCAACTTTTTTTCCCCTCTTTTGGGCAACAGAATTGAATCTTTCTTATATTTATGCATTTTGTTTATTTCCTTTGCAATATTTATGATCAAATTTTGTTAAATCAAAGTGTGTATAATTGGGATAGGGATTTGCCGGTTGATAAGTTGAAAGATGTGAAAGTAGCAGATGCTTTGAAGCATCCCAATTGGAATATGGGGAAAAAGATTACGGTCGACTCTGCCACTCTCTTTAACAAGGTAACTTGAAATTAATTGCAAATTAAACGATCGAAGTTTCTTTTTTTGTTTTTTAGTTATTTAATTTAACGTGTGTAATTCATGTGTTCTTGATAGGGTTTAGAAGTTATAGAAGCTCACTATCTCTTCGGAGCCGAATATGACGATATCGAGATCGTTATTCATCCTCAATCCATCATACATTCGATGATTGAAACTCAGGTAATTTTCTGTTTTTACACACTTAGTTACTTCTTCACTCAACATTTCAAACCGATAATCTCCCAAAAACTACCCCTAAAGTCTACCTTAACTAAAAAAGGCGAGATTTTTTTCACAAAATTAAAAAATGTACACGAAACACTCTTTCTAACTCTGTATGTCTTTTTTTTAGGATTCATCTGTACTAGCACAATTAGGATGGCCTGACATGCGTTTGCCTATTCTATACACAATGTCATGGCCTGATCGAGTTGGCTGTTCCGAGATTACATGGCCTCGACTCGATCTTTGCAAGTAATTACCTTAAAACATTAAATAAGTACTTATTTACTTACTCAGCCTAGATTAAACAAAATTATTCGATTTTGATTTTTTTTAATTTTTTATTTTTTTTTTATGGTTCAGGCTGGGTTCTCTTACATTCAAAGCTCCCGATAATGTGAAATATCCATCGATGGATTTGGCTTATGCTGCCGGACGAGCTGGCGGGACAATGACCGGTGTTCTTAGTGCCGCTAATGAGAAAGCTGTGGAAATGTTCATCAATGAGCAGTGAGTAGTAGTTCTTTTCGTTTTCGCACCCTTTTTGCCTAAATTTTGCTTTATTTAGAATTCTTTGTGTTTGAATTCATTTCGTTGCGTTTTAATCTTAGTGAAAACAAAAAAAACCCAGACATGATTATGCTCAATAAAATGGGCATATATCCCATTTGTTTGATGACTTGTGATCCATAATGCAGAATTGGGTATCTCGACATATTTAAAGTCGTGGAGCTAACGTGCGATAAGCATCGTTCGGAATTGGTGTCTTCACCTTCGCTCGAGGAAATTGTGCACTATGACTTGTGGGCCCGTGATTATGCGGCCAGCTTGAAACCATCGGCTAGCTTGAAGCCTGCACTTGTATGAAAATAAAGGATGATAAAAATATGGGGTTGTTTTGAAAGAGGCAGCTTTAGGCCATATACAATAGAAAATCATCTTGTGATAAATATGGGATTTGTGAAAGGGGTTTGAGGGGCAAAAGGCAAATAAGAGAAAGTGTTATGGGGGAAAAAATAAGTATAGCTTTTCAGAAATGTACTTGCAATGCCAAATCTAATGAGTTTTCAATGCCAAGAATTTTGTGGGTTTGATTATATCAGTGCCCCTCCCCTATTTATTAATTCAAAACGTGCTAAGTGCTAAGCTTGAATTGCAGTCTCGCATGTTTCGGATGCAAAATGTGCCAAGTTTGAATTGCAGACTCGCATGCTTCGAATGTTAATATGGCGAAGATATATGCTTCGTAATTTGGCTTGTGTGTACAATTATGCTTTGGAATTGCACAAATGTCTT